ACATTTCTGGAGCTAAAGAGAAAAAATAAGCCCTGGCTGGCATAGCTCAGTGGATTGAGCGCGGGCCTGTGAACCACACAATCGCGGTTCAGTTCCCAGTCAGGGCACATGCCTGGGTTGCGGGCCAGTTCCCGGCAGGGTACTCACAAGAGGCGACCACACATTGATGTTTCTCTCATTCTCTCCTTCTCTTCTTCTCTAAAGATAAAGAAATAAAGTCTTTAAAAAAAAGAGAGAGAAAAAAAATTCTAGCAAACTATTATTGTAAACTTTGAATTCAGAGAGGAAAAGGATGATTGTCATTTTGCCTTTTTTGTTCCTTCTACTTTTCTGAGTTTCTGAATGTTTTTTGTGTGAGGTCTTGGTTGGTGTCTGGTGTTGGGAGAGGCCACTGGGCTAGGTGGGAAGGAAACTGAAGATAATAGCTGATTGACAGATAACTAACTGGACAGAAAACAGGAGAAAGAAAAGCTTGGTAAGCGTCCCTTCTCACCAGTACCCCTGCTGCACTCAGCCGTGCTCTTACGGCAGGGAAGCCCGAGGGTCAGAGCGAAGGCCATGCTCCTCGGACAGGATTGAACTTACAGTAGTAAGGTCAATAAAGCAGCGGGACATTCAGGAGGTTTTTGAAATAGCATTGTTACATCGAGAACATCTTGGCAGCAATACCCCGGACGTGTCTGAATGTAGCATTCTAGGTGTAATCTGTGAGTGAGCAAGTGCGTGGTGCATTTCTTTGAACTTTGACTTGCAAAAGGTAGATGAGGAGTCTCTTGAATGAAAAACCTTGGCCTTCTGTGACACAGCTCACCGCACATTAGAAGCAAGACCAAAAATCCACAGCTAGGAGCAGGGATGGTCTGTCAAAGCCAACTTTCTGGTAGTAGCTTGCCCCTTTATGGCTCAGAATCCAGAACTAAGAGAAATCAGTGGTGCCTGGAACTGCACTGAGGTGTCCCAAGGGAATTCTGAACCTCCCCTCTCCACAGCTTTCTAGTCCCAGCTGCCAAATGCCCATGGGAAACTGGAGCTGATTGGCTCCCTCCCACCTCCCCACGGTGCTTAGAGAGGGAGGTGCACCACTGTGGCACCCTCTGCAGTGTCCTTTCACAGCACGGAGAGCAGAGTTCCTGCCCTGAAGCCAACTCTTTCTTGCCTGCCCCGCTGCCCTGAGAGCTTGAGTGATGAACCTCAGCAGCAGAAATAGGGCCAAGTTCCTGAGAAATCTGCCTTCCCGAAAGCTGGGATGGAATGGCGTCAGGATCGTGCCTCTAAAGCCACGTCGACGTGAGAGAATGAGTGTGAGAGCTCGGAGGCCTGTAGGACCCTGGGCGCCAGGGCCCAGGGAGGAGGTGCCGGTCTCTCAGTTACCATAAGCCTCTCTCTGTGTGTTCGGGCTGCTGCTATAAATGTGTCATTCACTTTAATTTAGCTTCAAATAAAAGACAGGTACTTTTGCTTTCAAGACTATCAAATTAGGAAATTATAAACCATGTTAATGATCCAGTGAAAGCAGACCTAACTTTCCCCTAAAGCATAATTAGCACAGGTGACATTTTGTTGATGTTTAACGGTGAACAAGGCAAAGAATGATTATGGTTTTTTGCTTTGCTGGAAGCCTCTTCATTGCTGTGCAGCAAAAAGTCATTTTCTTGTAGGGCTCTCAAAGTGATTTGTGGAAAAGGTGTTACAATCTGGGGATAACATCAGAGCTGCAGGCTGAGGGGCTTAGATGGTGCCCAGAGCCTGTGGTGCTGCCCAGATACAGTGTGGAACCCTGGGTTGTAGCGAGCTGATTGGTGAATACAAGTGGAAATTGCCACACTTAGAAATTCCCCGATTTAAAAGTGTTCTGAGCACTTTTTATTTTACAAAGATCTGATTCTCTCCCACTGATTGGCACTGTGATCTGGGTGGCGTTGTTGGGTTTATCAGGTGTCCACTATTTGCAGAACCATATCCACGCTCTCTAGAGAGATTTGGAGTATCCAAAGAGAGAGCATGCGCAAGGAAAATCATGTTTCTCCTAAACATCTGAGACTCCTCTCAAAGCAGAACTTCTTATGAGGCTTTGAATGCAGGTAGGTTATTTGGGAAGTCATCCCAGGAAGCAGGAGTGAAGCAGTGGGAAGAGTGAGACAGGGAAGCAGGAAAAGCCGGTACAACATTGGCCCTGACTGGTGTGGCTCAGTGGGTTGGGCATCATCCTGCAAACTGAAAGGTTGCAGGTTCGGTTCCAGGTTGGGGTACATTCCTGGGTTCTGGGCTAGGTCCCCATTTGGGATAGATAACCAATCGATGTTTCTCTCCCTTTCTTTCTCCTTCCTCTCTCTCTGAAAATAAATGAATAGAATCTTAAAAAAAAAAAGGCAACACGAGATTGCATTTCCAAGGCCACAAGAACCCAGTGCCACCAGAACTTCTGAGAATCATTCAGATTACCTCCCAGAACTGCCTTTTGTGCAGACAGGAGTCTGGGCCATTTGGCCACAAGCTCCTGTCCCCCTGAGGGAGGCCTTAAGGGCATGAACTCCACCACATACCCAGACAGTGCGTGTGACATATAGGCAGGGTCAAAGGAGGTCCTGCAGCCAGAAACGGAAAGCCTCCAGGTGTGTGCTTCTGGCGGACTGTTGTCAGCAGTGACGCAGAGCTTGCTCAGAATTGCCCAGGGCGGGGGTCAGCTGAAATTAGAGTCCTCAGGCATCTGCTGTGGAAGGGATTCACGCTAAAATAGGAAAAGAGCTGGGGTGCAGTAGAAACACCACCAGGAGGTGGCAAATCCAGAGCCTGAGGGAAGGGTCTGGAAGGCTTCCTGGCGGGAGTGGTTTCTAAGTTGAGATAGGACCCAGACGAATGGCAGGGAGGCAGGCAGAGGTGAGGTACAGATTCAGGATTGTGTACTTGGGGCATAGATTGTAAAGGTAGGTGTGGCAAGAGAAGATCAGGAAGAATTTTGCAAGTTGAGGAGTTTATACTTATAAGAGCAGTAGGAGCCCAGGAAGAGACATTTAAGTAGGCATGATAAGGTTTGTGTTTTAGAAAATTCACTCTAATGACAGCATGTAGAATAAATGCCAGGAGGGAGTACTTGGAGAGATGGGTGACGAGGCTGCTGAGTTACCCAGGTGTGAGAGAGTTTAGCAGTGAGAACCAGAGCAGTGGCATTGAGGCCGGTGAGAAGTGAAGAGCCTCGACACACTGTTTCTAAATCCCCATTCACGCTCTGCTCCTGTGAAAATACAGTGTGTGCCCGGCTGGCGCAGCTCAGTGGATGGAGTGCTGGCCTGCAAACCGAAAATAGTGTGTGTGTGTGTGTGTGTGTGTGTGTGTGTGTGTTGATGGAGAGATTGTTTTAGGAAAGAATTTTTTAAAGATCTGAATTAAAAGCTCATAAAGAACTGTTTGGAAAATCCTTACTCAAATTGGGAAGTAAATAGCCGTCAGAAAATATTTCAGGTGAGTCCTCCCCTCAGAGGTGAGACAGCACCGTGTGCTGCACCGGGCGTCAGGAGGACCTGGCTTCCTTTGAGATCTGCTTTTTCTATTGGTTCGACCTTTGCTCTGTCAGTAACCTCGTCAGACTTTGTTTATTTGTCCACCTCGAGAAAACCATTGTCATTGAGCCCTCAGGATGAGGATGCCTGCCCGGCCTGCTCTGAGTTGATTGTGAGCTACAGCATGTCTTGGGGCACGACCACAGGAGGGAAGCCAACAGTGAGAGTGGGGAGGGAGCCATGGCAGGCCTGAGAGTCTTGCGTGCAGTGGGGACATCAGCCTGTCAGCTCACTCCCAGGCAGAGGTGGCGACGGGCTCTGTGCTGCAGGGTGGCGGGGTTTCAGAATGGTTAGTGTGACCCTCAGTCTTCTCGACACGTTCTCCTCCAACTCTGAGACACAGGCCACAGTGAGACTAAGATAAGAGCATGTCTGTGGGGAAATCAGCATTCCAGGCACCTGAAAGGTGCTGATGTTATCAGTAGGCCTTGTGATGTCAGCTCGTAGAAATTTTTAGATGTTTTCACTCTCTTGCTTGTTCCAGTAAAGCAGAAAATAACTTCCAGTTTCCTGCATGCTGATATATAATTTGTCTTAGTTTCATAAAGAGACAGAAAGTCATATTCCTTCCCATGATACCCCCTTCTTACTAACTAGCTGCATTCTTTTATTCTTATTTTATCTCATACATTTAACATTGACTGGAAACATTTGACCTGCCAAGACTTGACCTTGGGCATATGGGGTTTCTCCCACAGACCATGATGGCAACACCAGCAAATAGAGCACAGGCTGTACATTCCCTGCTTTTAGGGTAAGGAATGTGAATGTTCTCCACCTTCTGGGAAAAACTGGGGCCCTGACTCAGAGGAGCTAAAAGGATACTACTGATCTAAGAATGCCTTCAAGATACCGTGACTTCCTGATCATCAGTGTTGGGATCTGGTTTCTCTTTCTCTTAGAAGAGTTCCCTGGGGCTTTCGTGCACCAGTGATGACAGTGGTTCCGTGTGGCTAACATTTACCGAGTCTTTACTCTGTGCCAGGTGCTGTTTAAGCACTTTACAAATAAGACACTCCACAGCCTCTGAGTAAATGGTTCACTTTGCAGACTAGGAAACCAAGGCCGATGTGGTTGAATAACTAGCCTAAAGTCAGTTAGAGCTGGAATATGAACTGAGGCATGTAATTCAAAAGCTGTGTCTAAATCACACTGTGCTTCTCCCTCTTTGCAAGCAGAGACCTGTCAGAACATACAGAGATCCTCGAGATTGTCTGTCCCCAGGTCCTTAGAGCGGTCAGAGATGGTAAACAGGAAAAAGACATTAGAATTCTGGTCTGTTTAACATGTTCTCCACCCCAGACAGTAAGTACCCTAGATATGAACAGGTCCCATTAAGGTAAATAGCTTAAATCTAGGGAGCCCCGTGCCTATCAGAAAAACCATTAATCAAGAGATTATAGTTTCCACGTGCTACATGTTTCATATTTTTGCTTTCCCTAGGTTAAAAAGATCGAGTGGCATGAGCAGCCTTTTGGGAAAAATTGGAGCCAAGAAGCAGAAGATGAGCACCCTAGAGAAGTCCAAATTGGACTGGGAGAGCTTCAAGGAGGAAGAGGGCATTGGGGAAGAGCTAGCCATCCACAATCGAGGGAAAGAAGGGTGAGAACGAATAGATCCTACTCCTCTGAAAAATCCTCAGAACTCTGAAATAGTTTATTGCAGACAGGCCACCCAATTTAAATGACAAATGTGAGTACTTTGGTTTGTCAGTAAGCTCTGTTCTAACGTGGGGCAGGTCCTGGCAGTGAGAAAAATGCTGGGGGTAACAGGAAGGGAGGGGCGTGTGAGCAACACTTCCCTCGGGGACAGTCACGTCTGCCGAGCTGAATTTGCTGAATTACAGCTCCTGTGAACTGTAAGTCACCTTGTTTATTCACGTGGTCAGATGCGGCTCACTGTATCAGGCTTGGCCCGACCTGGATTATTTGGCCTTCCGAGAAGCCAGACTAGCCCAGTGCTTCAAAAGCAGCCAATGGAGTGCCTAGATGTCTCATTATTGTGGGATTTACTTTCACCCGTGTCATTGACCTAGGGTGCGGCTTCACCCTTGGCCATCACTTGCATCCCCTTCCTCTTCACTTTGCAATACAAAGAGGATGTCCATAAACTGTGTACTTGGGAATATCAGGAGAGAAGCAGTGTTCAGTGAGTACTTGGGAACCTCAGAAGGAACTAAGGAACAAAGCTACTACGGAAGTGGGTCCCTGGCTCAAGGTCAACACTTTCCATCCCTGATCCTGAAAGGAAATGTTGTGCGATCCATCAGAGAGCCCTGGGGGCTCATCACCCCTCCCCGCACCGGAAGGGCTCTCCCTGTCGCTCACTGGACATCTCTGAGGCTCAGCTCCTTCACCAGGAAATCGGGGTGAAGAAGCCACCCTCAGTGCTTGTAAGGATCTCATGAAATAATACGTGTAACGTAATAAAAACAGATGGGGGATTGATTTGGAGGGTCATATATCTTATTTTATTTTTTATTGATTTTTTTAGAGAGAGAGGGGAGGAGAGAGGAAAAAAAAACACTGATTTATTGTTTCACTTATTTATGCATTCATTGGTTAATTCTTGTATGCGCCGTGACTGGGGATTGAACCTGCATCCTTGGTATATCAGGATGACACTCTAACCAGCTGAGCTACCTAGCTAGGACTGGCGTGTCATGTATTTTAAATTAGGCTTCAAGATTATTTGAGTGAACTTGGAAGCTGATCAGCATGTTTAAAAATTTTTTTACTGACTTTATGAGCTTATTTCACTACCAGACTTCTAAGTCAGTCTGTCAAACACAGAATGCCACAGACAGTGCAGGCCGAAGGTGGCGTTATCTGGGGCAGGCCTCCGACATCTGCCCCGAACCTCCCCGCTCTGACTCGGCTCCGGTAACTCACAGCTCCCTCCTCTTCTCCGCATTTGCCTAGTGATCTAGGGCAGCAGGGGAGCTGCCAGTGTGTGCTACACTCTAGTATTTCTCTGAGTTTTGATTATATGGGTTGGACAATATGTGCATTCTGCTTGAGTTAATAATAGATCTTATAAAAAGTAAGAACTGGTACTGTTAAAGATAAGGGAGAGTTAATAAAACATAGACTGGAAGAGGAAACAAGACTAAAGACATCTATCTGTACCCTGTCCAGGTAGCTCAGTTGGTTAGTGTTAGTCCCCATGTTGGTTAGTCCCAATGTGCTGTGGTTGCAGGTTCAGTCCCTGGGCAGGGCACATACAAGAATCAACCAATGAATGAATGAATAAATGGAACAAGAAATCAGTGTGTCTCTCTTTCTTTCTCTCTCTCTCTTACCCTCCTTCTCGCCCTCTCTCCCTTCCTCTAAAATCAATTTTTAGCATAATTAAAAAGACGCCTGCCCCATGAGGAAGACTTTTCAGGCAGTGGAAATCAAGTAACTGGGTTAGGGAACAACTGGTAGTGTACGGCTTGTGAGTGCTCTGCTCCTCCCTCCTTTTCCGAGACTTTTCTCCTGGCCCAGATGGTTTCCTCGGGTCTGATCGAGTGTTTCCAAGGCAGATCTACGACTTTCGTGCTTTGCCTGTGGCTGTTTTCACCTGCCCTGTCCAGTGTCCACTGCCACACCACTCACCTGCCTCTCCCAGCTCCTGCAGGCAGATCAAAGGGCCCGGCCCCTTGTCCAGGGACCGGAGCTGTGGTTCTCATGTTGGCCAAGCATGGGAATCCTCTGGGGATTTTTCCAGAGTTCAGGGAATAAGGTCACCTCTATACAGAGCTGCTAAATCAAGAGTCATAGTTATCTATATTTTTTAAATCGCTCCTTAGGTGCTTCTGATGCACAACCAGGGCTTAGAGTCACTAGGTCACAGCATCCAAATTCTAGAGATGAAGAACTAATGTCACTGCCATAAATGTAGTAAAGGTTTTTTAAAATTCTAGAGATAAGAGCAAGACAACCAGCTGCTGGGTTAGCCTTTCCAGCACATGGTAACTAGAGAGCCGACTTCAAAACAGGATATCAAGAAGGGCAAGAAGATTTCTGTTGAAAAGTGCACCCAGTGCCACGGTACCGAAGGGAGGGAAGCACAAGAACCACACCTGTCAGGTCTGTTTGGGCAGAGGCATGTCAGGCCCCCAGTGTCTCCTGCACGGATGACAACCAAAGCAAAGGCATCACCTGGGGAGAGGGTGTGACCATGTGGGGGATCCTCAGAAGTGAGCCCCTGGAGCAAGAGCGCTCCTTCCTGAACAGAGGAGGGGGAGAGGTCACATTTGGTAACGTCTCAAAAAAGCCACCTGTGAGTCATGATTGGCCTCTGCCCTATTTATTATGAGACCGGGACCTTTGTACAAACACCATGTTTAAATCAATCTCATGTACAAGAATTCAGGCCATGACTGGTGATAAAAATATTCCTGTTATGCAGTTCTGACTACCAGAAGGTCAGATTGAGTTTAAAAGACTATTGTGCTATTTGTGTTTTGATGGTAATTTCAGTTCAGTAAATACTAGCGTGTCTTTCCCACTGTAGAGATTTGATGGAATTTGAAGCTAGATTGGTTATTCCAGTTTTTTAAAGGGCAGTTTTGCCATCTTAAAATACTCATACAAGGGGACAAGGCATCTCAAGAAATAGCAGGCACAGGATCCGATCTGCAAAGAATTTTTAGGCAATGGAATATCAGACAGATTTTCACTTTAAAAAGTAGCCCAGCAGATTAAAAAAAGACACAAACAGAATTTCTAGAGATGAAAAATATAATGACCATAATTAAAAACTAAATGGATAGATTTAATAATAGTTGGGCCAGCTGAAAAGAGAATCCATGAACTGGAAAACAGTCGAGAAATTATCCGAAATATAGTTCAGAGAGACAAAAGGACAAAGAATAAGGAAGGGAGGTTAAGCAACTTGGAGGACAGAGTGGGAAAAGATGAAAGATGCCTCTTTATAGATTTCTTTAAAGCCCAAAGAATCCCAGGATAAATGAAACAGAAATCCAAACTTAGAGCAGAGTGAAACTGCAGAAAACCAAAGACAGAAAAACCTGAAGAGCAGCCAGAAAAAAAGAGACCTCTTTGAAAGGAGAGGCGTTAGACTGACAGATGGCTTCTGGTCGGCAGCAGCACAAGCCGAAGACACTGGAGCGATGTGTTCGGAGCACGGAAATGGACGACTGCCAGCCTAGACTCCTGGGCTGCATGTGCAGGTGAAGGTGAGAGTGAAGGACAGCACGGACATTTTCAGGATAATGAAACAGAGAGATTGCCCCAGCAGACAGAGAAACATGTATCTGCTGAATTTAAATGAGCATTAATGATATAAAACAAGAACGTTAATGTCTTGTACATTGTTAAGGGGTTTTTTTGTAAAGCAAGATAGTATTAAAACACCTGGCCGACAAATAACATAAAAGCTGGAAGCAGGTAAGCAGAGATTAGTTTTCCAAAGATCTCGTATTATCCAGGAGGAGGGTCAGAGTGTTGATTAAGTGTGCATATTCAAGTGTCTAGAATAGAAATAGTGTGTAAATTCCAAAACAGTGGAGGGAGAATAATGAAATAACTTGTGATATTAGACACAAAAAGAGAATCGAAGAAACCAAACGGGCAGGGCAAGTAATATGCACAAAGTAAGATGGTAGTTTTTTCAACCAAATTTATCAGACCTTTCATTAAATGTCAATAAATTAAATGCTTCAGTTAAAAGACAGATCGACACATTGAATTAAAAAACAGACGACTATTTGCTGTTTAGAAGAAACATATGTAAAACAATGGGATGCAGAAATGTTGACCCCCCCAAAAAAATGGGAGAAAAAATAAACCAATCAGACACTAACTAAAAGAAAGCTGATGTAGCCGTGTTACTATTAGGCAAAATAGACTGTAAGGTAGAAATAGAGGGCAGTCTCCACAAATAACAATCTTTCATTTACCTGGGAAGTGTAACAGTTTAAGTTCAAGTCTACCATTTGGCATTATCAGTAAGTTATTCCCCAAAAGACACATGTGAAAATGTAAATAACAGTACTTTTCATAACACCCCCAAACTGGAAACAGCTCACATGTCTGTTGGTTATGTGACAAAGTGTGATATGTTCACACACAGGGATTCTCTTCAGCAACAAAAAGATATAAATTTTAATAACACAACAAAGAGTATATGATTTCATTTCTATGAAGGACAAAAACCAGTATGTCCATTACAGTCTGTGAAAGAAGCGAGTCATAAAAGAATATAGACAGTACAGGTCTATTTGTGTCAAGTTCAGAATGAGGCACAGCTAGACCATAATGTCAAGGGAACGGGAACTTGGGAGGAGAGCAAGGCAGCGTGGGCGAGCCGCACCTGGGGGCTAAGAGTTGGGGTAGGGCTTCACAGGGGCCTCCTGGGGGCTGGCAGCTCTCGGGTGTCCTCCTGCCAGCCCCGCAGGAATGCTGTCCACAGCGTGGCAGACACAGCTTGGGGGCGTCTCCTCCCACTCGCCCTGGCGGACCTCCTTTCCTTCCCTGAGTTTTCAAACTTGGGAAGTCCCAGGGCTGAGCCCTTGCTACTCTCTCCCCCCTGACAGAGCGTACTCGATCCCTGGAGCAGGCGCCGGTTCTCTGCCAGTGACTCCCAGACCCCCG